ACCTGTTAGAGCCTCTAGAACGACGGCGACTGGTTATCTGTGGAGGTTCCAACTTAGTGGTACGACAAATGCGGGGAGAGACCGAGTGTAAGGCTGCAGGATTGTTTCCATTACGAGCAATAGCCTTAAATAAGCTGCTGTCATGGCCCACCCAAGGAATCGTGCACGTAAGACGTGATTGGGATCAGAGCGCCGACCACTTGGCCAGCACAGCTCTGCGTCAGAAGGAAGGTATGAAGTCGATACCGGAAGGGAAATGGCCGAATTCGGAAGGAATTAATCGATTGCCAGAGCTACTAGTTTCCAAGGACAAAAGCCCTTCGGCCAAGGTGCTTGCGATTGCTCGGTCTCGACCTCCAATCAAGATGTCAGGGGAAATCCGGCAAGAGGGCGTAATACAACGACCCCGGACAGATCGAATCAGGGAGGCCCAAGAGCAAGAAGACACTGGGTGCAAGATCTGAAGGCCTACTTGAAGGGAGATTGGTTGACCTATCCACGGAGACCGCCCACTCGTGCAGTAAGATGGCCAGGGATTACGAGATAAGTGAAGAGGGGCTACTATTGTATTGTCCCGTTCAGAGGGTCGAGGGAGACGACCGAGAAGTAACGGCTAGACTAGTGATACCCAAAAGTCTCCAAGCTGACGTCCTGCATCGTTTCCACACCAGTCTGGAAGGAGGTCACCAAGGGGTTGGACGTTTGGACGTACCTATCACCAAATCCGACGGTACTGCCATTGGAGAGGTTCATTCCGAAGTGTGCAGCGGTATGTGGGGACATGTGTGGATTACAAAACAGGGAAAGGAGAACCTACTCTGCTCGGCAAGACTCCAGGAAATACCGAAGCGACATATCCTTTCCAGATTATAGCGATGGATCATATTCCCTCTCTGCTCAGGTCGCATGGAGGAAATACCGAGTTACTAATTTGGGTCGACCTGTTCACGGGGTACGTGATGGCCAAGGATAGTGCGTCACGAACGGTCCAGGCGGTAGCTGGAGGGTACGAAGAATGCGTTTTTGCCGTTTTGGTGCTAGCGAGGCCATCCGCCACGATCGAGAACTAGGATTTATGTCGGATTTCTTTCGGGCGTTTGGTCGCATGGTGGGCCAGCGTCAACAGGCGACGATGGCCTATCGACCTCAGGCAAATGGGACCGCGGAGAGAATGGTTCAGACTCTGAATAGGTCCATCAAAAAATGTATGTCTCTGATGTCGGACAGCAGGATTGGGACGAGTATGCAGAACGACTAACGTTTGCGATGAACACCGCGCAAGACCGAGTCCGGGAGGAGACACCGTTCTATCTGGTCCATGGTTGGGATACTAGGACTACCCTCGAGGCTACCTTGCCTGTGGTAAATACGCGACGTCCACGCAGATGGAGATATCACATTCAGCAACACTATAGCGGGCGAGAGCCCAGGTGAATGAGAACATACGAGCGGCCATTCAAGCTCGGATCCGAGCCCATAATGAAGAGGTGGTCGACCACAAGATTCAGCCGGGAACTCAAGTGTGACTCTATCTGGACCGGGTGAAAGAGGGGTACGCAAGAAATTGGCCCACCTCTGGCATGTACCATTTCGAGCTCTAAAGTTGGTGGGAGAACACGTAGCGCGCTTGGAAACTAGAGATACGGAGTACAGGCTATTCCCTGTGGTACATCTATCCAAACTCAAGAGGGTTAGAGAGTTTCCAAAACGACCGAGTGCCGCGTTTTAGAGACGAACGGAATAGATCGGGTCGACTTCGATGAATGCCTGTTACCGGAGGACAGTTAGGCAAGAGAGCTAGGAGAGGAGAGTACAAGGTCGAGGAAATCTTGGAAGCCCGCACTGGAAAGAAAGCACGTTTCGGGGAGACAACAACGAGAGCTTCTCGTCCGATGGAAAGGGTATGGAGACCCCTCGTGGGTGGATGAAATGGATTTGCATTGTGGAGCCTTACTTTGGGATTTCGAACGCAAGGAGACAAGAGGAATCGTTTCGAAGTGATACGAAATCATGAGGAATAGAGGTAGAAGCCGAGAGTCCCGGATGGTCGACCAAAGTCTATAGTGGGTAGACCTCGGTCCCTCGGTAGTAGACCTTGGTCTTCCAAGGTTTACTTTAATCCATCATTGAAAGACCCCGGTCTTTTCGAGGTATACCCTGGTCCCTCGTTGGTAGACCTTGGTCCTTCGTGGTAGACCCCGGTCTTTCGTGGTGGACCCCGGTCCCTCGTTACAAGACCTTGGTCTTTCAAAGTAGACCCCGGTCTTTCGTGGTGGAACCCGGTCCCTCGTTAGTAGACCTGGGGTCCTCGACATGGACGCCGACGAGGCGGGAGTACTGGAGGTGCTGGCCTTGGCGGCCTTAGAGACCTTAGTGGTCGCCTTGGCCAAAGAACGCCGAGGTCGTTTTACCGTCACCGCGGTGAGAGGTACTGCGGGAGCAGTCACGGGAGGAGCCGCGAGATCGTGAAAGGGACTCGTGCGGCAATCCTCGTGCCCCAACTCGGCCACCATAAGAGTAAAGCGGCTCTAGAGGTAGTCCATTCGCCACCGCAAATGCTCCGCCAGCGATCTCTCTTGCTGGAGTTCTTCGCGAAACTGGACCACAAGGCGGTGAGTGTCTTGCAGCTATCTTTTGAAGAGCTGACTCTGGGCGATCCAGTAGGCGTCGAGGGTGAGGACGGCCGTAGGTCGACCTTCGCACGCCTCAAGTCTTCGGCTTAATAAATCTAGACGGTCTTGAAGATCGCGTGCACCTGAGAAGTGTCTACAGGACCGCCCATCGTATCCAGAGGAGCACTCGACGGAAGAACGGGCGAGACATAGGCGACCGTCCCCACGGATTCCACCACAGCAGAGGAGCTAGAGGTCGATTGAGGGTAATCCACGTCTGGGGAGCCCTCACCACCTACGACCTCATAAGGAACCTCGGTAAACTTACTTAGCCCGGGCACCTGAAGAGGAGTGTCGATCGGTGTTTGTGAGAGAATCTGAGCCTCTGGGTCAACGTCAAGGGCAGGCAGTCTTTTCGAGGTTGGCCCTGGTACCTCGTTGGTAGACCCTGGCCTTTCGTTGGTAAACCTCGGTCTTTCGAGGTTTACCCTGGCCCCTTGCCCCTCGGTCACCCGGCCCCTAGGCCCCTCGCCCCTCCCCTCGGCAAGCAGAATCAAGAATCAGGTCTTAGGGTAAGGATAGAGCTAAGAAATTAAAAGTTAGGACCATATTAAATACTTCTCAATTTGCGATCCATATAGCACATCTCCGTCGGGCTTCCAAGGTACCTACTAAGTCTACCCACCTGTTCCGGGAAGGGATACATTTTGGCCCCGCGTCGAAGACAGTTGTGAGGTAATACTTAAAGTGCGAATAGAACCCCAGGATACATTTGGCCTGTGTGTTCGTCCGAGTAGCAACCCCCAACTCAGTCTGCTATCGGAAGCGGTCTCCCTACCCTAGTGGTCCGGGAGCAGGTAAAGGCCAGGTGGGGTTAACACGCCTGAGATATCAAGGAAAAGGCCAGGGTTGAGTATCTCCCCTGAAGGATTTGGTTATAAGTCCACCATCGACCCAGTAAACCGAGTGACCACCTATCCGCCTACCGAGTGAAGTATACCCACTCGAGGCACCACAAGGTCGACCTCTCTCAAGGCCGGCATCACATCTCAACCAAGTCCTCCGAAGAGTGCAACCCGCCGGTCCACAAGGTGAGAGAAGAACTATACGCGGCATCGGGGTACCCTCTCCGACATTCGGCAGTCAGGCACAGTGAATGGCTTGGGGTCTCATTACGCAATTTTGAGAACCCACTCCACCACATAAACAAGTTGCGATGATGTCGCGTAATATTAATGATTACAAAAGCATCACGCGAAGAACACGGTTCAAGCCGCGATTCCCGGTGCTAGTATTAACACGCTTGAGCAAAATTCCCATTGCGTAAAGTCGACGACACAGAACCGGGGTATATCGGAGGCGCATGATGGAGGTACTAAGTATGCGTATACGTGTGTAGAAAAAGAACAAGTAAGACAAACGTTTCGGGTAGTGCTAAGTTAGTCATTTCCGAAACTAACCAAGTTTGCCAGTTATTATTTCCTGCTGTGTTGCTGAAAGTTGCAACGAATGCAATATTGCAACTTATCGGTTACGGCGTATGTTTGTTTTGCAAACTAAAGCCACGTCGAAGCCTCTAGCGGATAGTGTTGCATCGGTACTTTCCGGTCATCACCGTAATCATTCCCCATCATCCCCGTAATAGTAAGCATTGGATGTTAGAACTTATGCTCATTGCAGTCTAGCTGAATTAGTTTTCAGGTGAACTCTCCTGTCTCTTTTTGCTGTACAATCATACACATCCCCTGGAGAAGCAGGGTATCGATCCCTGTGCAGGTCCATATCTGACTCCTTAGATGAAGATGCCTGACGTGCATCTCAGCAGCATCAGCAGCTCCAGCAGCTCCAACACTTCTGCTATTTCTCTTTCAGCCCAAAGTTTTTGGATCCGATCGCGATCCTTCCTGACCGAATTATGAAAGGAGGTTGGGAGTGGGGTCAGTCAGTTACGTTTGAGCTTCAGATCTCGTACTATAGCCTTTGTTCCTTAGTCCTCGACGAACGATGGATGACCATATATAATAGTTCTACGACTTGACTGGACTAGTTTAGAATACTTGTTACCACGACTTTGAGAAGGTATCGTTTATCTTAGTGGTGGAATTCCAATATCTGTCGATCTCTGATTGGTCACAAATCGATCCTGTCCTTTTCCCGCGTTATTTTGCAATGCTTACGCGCCATATTTCAAAGCTTGCTCCAGATTAACTCGTCTCCTCATAACGTTGCAATCTCGGCTATTACTCTCTCGAGTAGTGCCTCTAGCTTGCTCTCTAGCATATCAAGTGATAGAAAAAAGACAATACGTAAACGCTCACTTCTGTCGGCTCCATATCTGCAGCTCTGTAGACAACGCTTTAGCCTGTGCTAGTTGAGGTAAGGCAACATATGAGCATGTCCAGCTCGAAACAAGCTGATGCAGTGACTCTACAGCCTGACACACAGGATGCAGATTGCCAAGAGACACTTGTAAGCTGTCGGATTAAATCTCAGATATGGAATTGCCAGGAAAGTGCAGCAAAAAGCGCCTTCAAGGACGAGAAAAAGGTCAGAAACGCTGCAGAGGACAAGCAGCATTTACAGACTGATGCAGTTGAGCCAGAGCAGGAGAAGGACGTAGAGATGGAGCAGGAAAAAGCGCAGAGCATACGAAGAGACGGTGAAGAGTATAATGTCAATTTTAGCAGCGTGTCACCCCACGACAGCAACTTTGACTTGTTGCAGATGAACACCGACTCGGATTTCTCAGTGCCAATGTCTTCACCTCATTGCCGAGACTTTGTTCGTTCATTCGACACGAGACTGATGTCAGGGCCGTTAGCGTCACCCTCTTTGTCGTCATGTGGGTCTTCTGCGCTCTGTTCTCCGTCCCGGTTCTTTAAGTCTCCCTTGAGAACGAGTATTCAGACTTTGAAGACACCGCCGTGCCGAGAACTTACGCCCATACGGCTGGCAACGCCGAAAAGGTTGTCGGATACCATCGACTTGCTTTGTCAGCAGGAAGAGAAGAAGACCAGACCAACTACGAGCGAGGATGGAATGGTGGCTGCTGCGACGCTTGTCGATATCGAACTAAAACAGGGCAATCCACGCGAGAACGTTATGTCTACGAGGGCTCGACTGAGAAAGGAATCAACTGTGGCCGCACCTCCGCGCACTCCAACGCTGTCAGCAAAACAACAGCTGCTCTCTTGTTGCCAAAAGGGCGTCGTTGATCGAACGAAGGATGTCAAGGAGCGAGAGATCGCTAGGGACGTTCCAAAAACACCTGCTAGAACCAGTAGTAAGGCATACACTTCTGCCTTGATTCTCGATGCCGATGATGTCCAATGTGTTCCCAGCGAATTGATGACTACTTCAAGCGAGAATGACTCGTTTTTTTCGTTTGTAAGTTTGCTATCCCCACTCATGCCCGCTGACGAGTTCGAGGACATCCTGATGCCAGCGAAACTTTCACCGCTTGTACCGCTCTCTTACGACCTGCCAAGACCGTACGTCGAACGACTACCAAGCTCTAATCAGTTCTGCTTCTAACAAAGTGTTGCACTAGACTTTCGCCATATCCCAAACAGGAACCAAGTGATGATCGAGGCTTAAGCTCAACAACTCACGCATACAATGGCACAACTTCAATCATCCAGACGCCAAAGAAGAAGTCGAGCCGGAAGCGAAGACATTCATCGACTCAATCATTGGCTGGAGGCGGCATCTGCGTTCACGGATCTGCATCCAGATTAATTTCCCCAAGATTCTTCACCGAGCCGTTCCCAAACATTCAAGCTTTCACAAACGCAACACCAGGACAAGACGAGCGGTCAAAGCTGGGGAGTCATAGCGTCATGAAGATAAAGCTCCACACGTCGTTTGGATCCTTTTCATCTATGCTAGACTCGCACCCCACGCGCAAGATTCAGACCATCAACAATAGCTTGTAAGGTCGTTGTAGTGAGCTGTGCTTTTGATGGTTGAGCGCTTACATTGTGACAGGATAAGCTAAGTGTCGTGCTTTTACATTGGATTGTACAGGAAACGGAAGAAGTACATTCGCCGACGCAAAGGTCAGGAAGAACGTCTACAAACATCGTTTTCCAGCAACGTTCAGCGTAAATTGTTGCAAACCCCGGTAAAGTCGTCTGACTCTCCGCGCACTATTGCCCGATCCCCACTACATCCGTGGAACGGACAAACATCACAAGCTAGCGTCTTGAAGGCTCACACACCTCAAAAGTCAGGCGCGATCCAGCAAACGACTAAGGTCGCTGCAGATGAGGCACTTGCGTATTCACCCGTAGCGCGCAGGCAAATTTCAGCAACGGACCCAGTACCAGCGCCAGTCACACCTGTCGGCAACAAGAAAAAGCGAAAAACGTCGCAGTGTGTCTCAATGCCCTCTTCGGTTGCAAATATCGTAGGAGTGAAGATGCGAAAGTCGGTTTTGAATGTTCGCGAGGCAGCAGTACTAGCAGCAACACCGACGAAGCAAATCAAACAAGAGGTGACAACATCTCCAGGCAAGCACAACATGCTAACACCGCGAACGATGATAGCTTGCGATACAAATGACATGGCTTCGTTCGAAAGCAGTGTGCTGCAAACACCAGCACACGTCGGATTGTTCACTTCGCTCACGACGTCATTGCAGTCAACATCCAAAGCTGTACTAGGTGCTCCATCCATGGTGATGCCATCACAGGTGTCCAAGAAGGCCTCGTGCAACTGCAAGAAGTCCAAGTGTCTGAAACTGTACTGCGAATGCTTTCGCCTTGGAGAATATTGCGACGAAAGCTGCAATTGTCACGATTGTGCCAACACTACCAAGACAGAGGCGGTGCGGCAGCAAGCTATTGCATCGCGGTTGGAAAAGAATCCAAACGCGTTCAAGCCAAAGATCGGCGTACACCTGCCGCAGTAACATCGACGTCGGAGAATGCTCATCGCTTGTCGGTTGGTACATCTAGCAGTAGCCATGTTTCCATCGGCTCCTTAATGTCGCCACCTGGTCAGACGAGCTTTCAACAGCAGCAGCGGATTTTAGGTGCGGGCGTAGCGACCATAAAGATGCACAAGCATGGATGTCATTGCAAAAAGTCAGCTTGTCAGAAGAAGTACTGCGAATGCTTTCAGGCGGGAGTGCGCTGTGGCGACAACTGCCGATGCATCGTACGTAGTCCTTGTTGTCGTGCTGAATTGTGCTGCACTTCCTAACATCTTTATGTCTACAGGAGTGTAAGAACCAGATATCGTGCGTAGCGCATGGAAACGGCGTTGCAATAGCGGAATCAGCATTGGGCGGTGCCCCGACGCGCATTGCAAACGAGCTCGACGAGACCTTTGTATCGCCAGTTCTTCAGGGCGTTAGACAGCGGATGCGCATTGACCGCGAAACTTGGAGGGAGAACTTCTCGTCGCCATTCAAGTCCTCTCCAAAACGAAAACGAGATCGAACAGAGTGGTCGCAGTCGAAGCTGCTTGCATCAAGAAATGCTGGTGTGACTGGAGCCCGGGTGAGAGCAGTACCGTTCGCGTCCGAATCTACGCCTCCAGTAAAGAGCCAAAGTGGTGCCAGGCAGTTTCGTGGAATATTGTCACCGATTAGAGGACAATGTGACGAACAGCGAGGTGGCAACAGTAAAGCCACCAACACTCTAATGTCCCCAAAGGAGCGCGAGCTACAGCAACACCATTGTGCTGACAGAATCGACGACAAAACTGTCGGAAAAGCTGCGTTATCAGCTGTAGTTCGATCATCATCACCCGGAATCGAACGAGTCTTTGTCCTGCCGCTATTTGGATCAAAACTTGTTCCGTTGGAGAACGGCGTGAGTGCAAAAATCTTTTGCTTCCTCACAAACGCTGACCTGCATAATGCAAGCTTGGTGAATCATCTCTGGAATCAAGTTGCTCTTGGTGACACCGTCTGGGACCACGCCAACTATATCTCAACGAAAGTAAATGCTGCAGCCGGGCGATGTTCACCAAAGAAAACAACTGGAGGCTCTGATGATGCTAGAATCTAACGCTGTCATTGTCGACGAAGATCAATGGTGGCATTCAAGTACGAGAATGACTTTGTCATGCTTTCGACCCTCAGGCAAGAAACAGGGACAAAACTACAGACACTTGTGAGCTTGTCATACAATGTGAACACAGATAGGAAATATTTACAATGCTGCAAGAAGTACAAGACAATACAAGCGGCAGCGAACGAAATGAACGTGTTGAATACAATACATCCACATTGGCGATAGATGCATTGATCACCACCTATTGCCGACAGGTATTGCCGAGCGCAAGAGCTCGCTTACAAACCTGACCTCTTTCGCTTGACTAACCATAAGGAGATCGTTATCGGATCCAAGCTCAACCACGTGCAAGAGCGGCTCACCGCCAAGTAAAAGCCTCCAAGTAGCTTGCTTGGATGCTTTGCTCATGGCGACAGCTTTGACATACGACGAGGGTTTTCAAGAGAAATGTGTTGCAGGCGCACTGCGCCAAGGATATTTTCAGGCAGCTCTTCGTCTGATTGGGCCTCGAGCAAGAATGCCATGTCTACCACTAGCGATTTGGTAACACCTTGCACCATGCCCACGACTGTGTTGGCTACCGAGTTTGACGAAATGTCAATGTCAACCTCAAAGTAGTTGTCTCCACGATGGTAAAGGCACTTCAGTTTGTTGCCCAAAAGTGTTGGCTTGGATCCGACCGACTGCTTGATAATGAAGCTACCCTCGACGACAGTAGGAATGAGCTTGAAGCGCGAATTTCGGAACTGGTCGTCGCCATCAAAAAAGTCGTTCAGCAGCTCGGAAAAGGGTGAGCCGTCCTCAAACACGCTGTCACGCACAGGATGAAAGTAGAACACCATGCACGTGTTTTCCGGACTCGGAATGATCATATTCACAACAAACGTGAACTTGGAGCTTTGTCGACCAACACTATCTGCACGAGACGAAATGTTGTACCTCTCGGCTGCACTCTCGAACGACAACAGATCCACACCCACGGTGTGGAACATTGCTGGCGCTGACGGAATCTTTTTCTTGTCGTTCAAGTAGTTATGGCCGCGCACACTGAAAAGGGAGGCGTCGGGCTCGGCCCACATCTTCTCCGGCAGACTGGTCTGAAGTTTCTGCACACCCATGACAACACCCATGGAGTCCACGCTCGTGCGCTCGTTGACAACAGTATCTTTCTGACCAGCTTCTGATCCCTCACCTTCTCCAGCAGGCGCCATCGAGACATTAGGTGTGATAAAGTCAGTGGCGCTCATTTCGTCGCGAATGCCCACAACACTGCGCAGCTGAGGCATGACCAAGTCCACATCCATGCCAAGCTGGTGGTAGATACGCGACCAACCACCAGGATCGTATCGAAGCACGTATGTAACCAGTGTGCGAATGGATCCACTTGGAACGCGCTGGGGAGCAATTATGAAACCGCCACCCAATATGTTCGCTCGCACGTAGTTGTGACGCATCCGGCACTCCGGATGGTCGACGCTCTGGTACATAACAAAGTAAGACCCGTCTTCTTCGCGTCGCCAATACCGCATGAACACCAGATCACGAGCTTTCTGCCACAGAGGCCACAAGTGCGTCGGTCGCTGCGTCGCGTACACAATGTCGGCGTGGTCATCCAGCTGCTGTACAACACGCATGGTCGCCGTCGCTGGGTCCCATCGTTGAAATCTCTTCGAGTTCATGATCAGCCTAAAGACCTCTGTCGGCGATCCATGCACCACTTGCGAGACACGAAAGCTCGGAATCTCTAATGCTTGCGTAGGTGTCACAGCAACACAACACACTATAACAGCCGCCAATGCCGTCATGAAACTCAGTAGCATATTATTAGCAAACGAGTACATGATACTAAAGCTCAGTGCAGCACCAATCACAGCACTAAAGATAAGCCCATTCTTCGCCGCTGCGTGTTGCGCGTACAAATTCGCTGCAACATTTGGTCCCAATGGACATTCTTGCATAATCCGTAATCCTCCTTCAACTCGAGCCAACCACCAAGCTTGTTCTGCCTTGACATTATCAGCATCTAGATTAAATAGTGAGACTGTATCTTCATCGGCCTTGAGCATTCGTGGTACGTGTGTAGGTGTGGGAAATATTTCAGCATCTGTCTTGAGTTTCCGCTGATGTGCCATGAGTTCTCTTAATGAACGAACGGCATTTTCAAGCGCTCGTTTCCATTCCTTTGCATTTTCTTCACTTTTCGCACCTAAATCCAGAAATCGGTCCTTTTTATAGGATTTTTCTCCATCCATTAAATCACCAACGGCAAATGTGATCCGAAACATCCAGACTGGACCATGATGTTTATGTTTCTCCTCGGAATTAAACACAGAGCTTACAACGCATCCGTCGGTTAAAATATAAGTCCCTCGAGGTGCTGGATCACCTCGTTTACGATAATAACGAAGCTGATTATAATCCAAGAGAAAATAACGGTCTCCTAAGGCATATAAATAGAGAAAGAAAAAAAGACCCAAAATAACAAGATGACAATATGACCAAAAGTTAGACAGAAAACCCAAAATAAAGGAAACAAGACTAAATGATACAAAAAGAAGAAGAAGAGAGAGAGAGACGTACGCCAGATAAGATTCATATGATCACGACGTTTTGTAAGCCAGCCTTCCATAATTATTGTTCTTAGTCTTAATCAAGTAAGATAATATATATATATATATTACGTGTTAATGTGTGTGTGAAGTAGTAGATGGAATTTGACGATAGGAAGAAGACTGACGATATAATTTATAGTCGGAGGTCAGAGATCGAAAAACAATTATTGTGATTGGTTGAAAATGGTTTTTAGATAAAAAAGCCGTGCAAAAGTAGGAATAAGGATATAATCGATCGCTGTACGATTTGTTTTAGTTACATAGGGACAATTTAGTAAAACAACAACAACAACAAAACAACAAATTATACGTAGAGCGTATTATATCCCAAAATAACGAGAATACATGCTCACTATAATGCATCATCTTCTTCTTCTCTCAATTCTTCAACTTTTTCTTCTTCACAGGTTTTCTTGCATGTTTTTTTGACAGCAATTGACTGCTGTAGTTGCTTGATTGCATCTAAATCCCCATCCAGCCAGTGTACCATGGATTCTTCATTTTGTAGGCATACGTCATCAGGCGGTACATGACTACAAAGCCCAGTACGCAGCCAACGATGGCCAGATAACGGACGGCCGGATGACGTACATACACTGCCCATTGTGACAATAAAATCACGAACAAAGCTGCACCAACGTCAAAGGCACCAATGATGAGCCCTTCATAGACAAACTGCTCTCTTCCTTGCGGATGAAAGTAGAGAGCATTGCCTTTGCGATCGACATAAAACAGCGGCGGATTGCGAATGATACAAAAGACCATACCCGATACGGAAAGACCATAAAACAGTAGCGAGACTGTCATCCAGAGCTGTTTGCGTCGTAGCTTGGTCAAGACAACGTCAAAATGAGCTAGTACTAATTTCGCCATCAAGACTGTTGCTACAAGCACCAGTACTGCCACCACATAGAGATGAATCTTGGACCGTTGAATGGTAATCTCAAATCCTGTCTGATGTTTCACAAACATGGCAATGTTCTCAGCTTCCATTCCATTTGTAAATATATCATACACCTTTGCTAGTTCCATTATCTGTTTCTTTGATATCTTGTTTCCACTATCAATAGATCGATCCGGTCCAATGTACATAATGTGAGGTGCAGACGTCATTTCAAACATACCAAACGCCTGTTGATTCGTTTCAAACTTCACAAGACCAAAAAAGATCTCCACATCATCATTTGTATCATCATGATTGTTGTTGTCTCGTGCTGCTTTTACTGTTTGTTTCGCACCTTGATAACTTTGACCCAAGAGCTCAAATTCAATTGCTACTTGCTTACAAGCGGCACAGTTTGATTCACTTGTTGTGAATAAAAGTAGTAAATGATACGGACGTTCTGGTCGTACAACAAAAGGTTCAAACAGTTGGTTTGAAAACGAGACAAGACCGTCATGTACACGACTTTGTAATTCTGCTACTTTCTCACTGCCTTTCAATGGAATCAATGCCGTCTTCTGCTGCTGACTCGTTTTCTTCTGCTTGATAGTTTTTCCATGTACAATTGAACAGTTTACAAGCAGCAGTAATACGGTCGTCAAGAGTATCAGCAGATGCTTGAGTCGGATTCCTTGTCTCATATCTTGTTACTTCTTCTTCTTCTTCTTCTTGTTACTTCTTCTTCTTCTTCTTCTTGTTACTTCTTCTTCTTCTTCTTGTTACTTTGGCCACGTGGAAGATTGGTAATGAATGTACGAATTAGATTGATTAAAACCCCAGGAATAGAATACATTATTTAAACCAATTAGAAAGCGAACAAGAGCTTGTCAACGGTTCAAGGTCAATATTGGAATGTAGAAACGAAAAACACGACAGTTCTTATTGGACAGAATCATTCCGTTTTGTTATAGTCATTGTTATTATTGGGACCAAATCACAAAAAATATAGACAAGTACTGACTTAATTTTATTGGTCTGATGACGAATCACGTGACAAAGGTAGATAAAAGCCCATGGGGTTTTAAACTGATCTATGTAGGAACTTCCTTCCTAGTGATGGCCATTTCCATGTATATAACAATATATTATCAATCCATCAACTTGTCTTCTTCCTCTTCTACTTCGTCTACATCTTCTTCTTCTCCCTCTCCCTCTCGTCCTTTCAATTGGAATACTGAAATGTTTCGATTGGATCAATTCACGCGATCCAATTCAGCCAATTCGTATCGATGGGGTACATATCGTCCTGGACTATATTTTGGTCTTCGATCTCGTTCAGAACCTGAATTTGTGTCTGTGGGTCTTTTATGGACATCACAAATGGAAGATGTCTCACAACTGAGACATGAATGTCAACAGGACGATCAGCTTCAACGTTATGGATGGCTTCAACATGATGGAAGAAAATATGGACGAGAGACAATAGAAGATCAATTTAATCGTCTTGAACTGCATACAAGTTATGTCCAATTTATTCAGACACAAGAAGAGGAAGAAGAAGAAGAGGAAGAGGAGGAGGAAGAAAAAAAGAGGAGAAGGAGAAGAAGGACGAGGAGGTTCAAGGATGGGGTGTACGAGTACTAGTAGCTCCTTTAATACCTCGTGACAAGATGTTGAGACAAAGAGAAGGACCAAAGAACAACAAAATGTCGCTCTTTTTTTATATTGATGTGAGCTGTGAAGACGAGATATTGACTTCAAGCTGTCGAGAAAAGCTGCAGAATCTAGTACAAGTGACAGTGGAGCCGACGGAGGTATCGTGTGGACAAGAGGACGAGGAGCAATGTGTGCAGATGGTATTGGTGAGTGAAGGTCCAGAGAGTGACAAGACCACGGTGCCCTTAGCGTTCCAGATGCAAGTGCAATTGAAGACTCGACGGACGGTGCGTAGCATGCAGCTGCACTATGTCGGACTCAAAGACACCAATGTGATCAATGTGAAGGAAAGACTGGTGTCTCTTGCTCAACGCCCTGGTGGCAAAGAAAATCAGAACTTGAAGGACGACAAGGAAATCAACCTGGAGAACTATGTCGAGGACGGAAGCACGTTGATTGTTGTCCAGGCGATCATTGATGTTGATGTTGCCACGTTTAAGGAGGGAGATGCCGTGCTGGATGTATTGTTCAATGAAGTTGCGTCTTCCATTGAAGACAAGTCTTCCATTAAAGATGAGATCGTGACAACTCCCATTGATCATCTTATCACTGGAAAGCTAGTTGAGTACTCACAGCAGTTCGAGGACAAGTTTGAAAAGACTTTTCGTTTGTCGACGAAATCGTGGCCGGCAAATAATGGTGAAGAGACGCCGTTTAATGAGAGTCTTAAAGCATTTGCAAAGGCAGCTTTCAGTAATTTGATTGGTGGCACAGGCTATTTCTACGGGACTTCGTTGGTGCAACATGATCCAGAGAAGCCCGACGTTGTCGAATCACCCATGAAGCCGCTACTCACAGCAGTTCCATCGCGGTCTTTCTTCCCTCGAGGTTTCATGTGGGACGAAGGTTTTCACCAGATTGGCGTGTCAACATTTGACGATCGACTTACACGCGATGTTATTGCACATTGGCTTAGTCTCATGGAAGAGGACGGCTATATCGCTCGCGAGCAGATTTTGGGCCAAGATGCTCGTCGTCGCGTACCGACTGAGTTTTTGGTCCAGCACGTGGAACACGCCAACCCTCCTACGTTGCTTTTGGCTTTGGAGAAAATGATGCATTGGCATCAGAATGCTGACACAGACAAGGAATTGCAGGAATTTATGCAAACTATCTTTCCATCTCTTAAGCACTGGTACAACTGGTTCTTGAAGACGCAGTACGGACCACACAGCACGAGCTTCCGCTGGCGCGGCCGTCACAAGAATGATGGCAAGCTTATTTCGAACACGCTTTCTTCCGGCCTGGATGACTATCCACGAGCATCATTTCCTAGTGAGAATGAAATGCATGTGGATTTGCTTTCGTGGATGATTCGATCGAGCAATATTATGGCAAAGCTTGCAGCTTTTATTGGCCAGGATACTGATGTCCAGCGCTTTGAGGCAAACAGCGCGCACTTTTTTGCTGGACTAGATGAACATCACTGGAATGAGGAGGCTCAGTCGTATTTTGACGTCGGTGAACACAGTGAGGACGGTGTGATTGAGTACCAGGTTGCTGTGCGTTGTCGTAACGATCAGGGTCAGGTGATTGGTGCGGCAGCTCCTATCACGCAGCTTGAAACCAAAGTCAAGTGCCCAGTGAGTCATCCCCACTACATGTTTCCTTTGAGTGATGGTCGCGGTGGGCTGCAGATGCTGCCTGTATTTGTCCCTCACACCACTAAGCTACAGCACGTAAAGCACGTCGGCTACGTCAGCGTGTTCCCGCTCTTACTGAAGTTATTGCCGCCCGACTCGCCGAAGCTACTTGCACTTTTGAAGCAAGTGACAGACCCTGCGCAGCTGTGGTCTCCTTTCGGACTCCGTTCTTTGTCTACGCTTGATCAATTTTTTGAGCAGGAAAATGCGCCTGGAGATAACCCGTACTGGCGTGGAGCTATCTGGATGAACGCCAACTACCTGGCTTTGGATGCGCTACACCACTACGCGCAGCCGAGCACGGGAAGTCCGTTCCAAGCGGAGTTTCAATCGGCGTATACGGCGCTACGTGCGAACGTGATTGCCAATGTTTATCGCGAGTACGAGCGGACTGGGTATCTGTGGGAACAGTACAGCGGTGACATTCACAGTGAACAGCGGTACGGTCATGGGCAACGGTGTCATCCGTTCACGGGATGGACATCGCTTGTCGTGAACATCATGGCAGAGATCTACTAGCAATATATGACTTAAGAAAGCAAAACTGTGCAACTTGAGTCTTTCGTTGTAGTGTAAGAGACCCTATGGGCTCTAAAATCTACGTGGTCAAAACCTATTGTTTATCCTTGCTCCATTTTGAAACGCCCGGCGTTCTCTTTCTCCTGGCACCGCTGCTTCAGCACCCTCCATCGTCATTTCCTCGTAATGTCCATATTTGCCGCTCTTATTTTGCTTACATAAGCGCATCTACCAGTGCAAGGCCTTTGTACTCTAAAATAAGAGTACGGATTTATTTCCCCACTATCTCGATGAGAATTTGGTGCTGCGATTTCACAGAGTCAGTCCACATGTTCACGAGGACGGAGTGGAAGATGAAGCGTCTCCATTCTTGCTCAGCAATAATACCATGTCGTCTAACGATTTGCCATCATGACGCCACATCTCCCTTAGCGCTATCTCAAATTCCTTCTTGTACGCTAAAAGATAACCTGGACCGCCTGTTCCAATTTTCTTTTCCGCAGTTCTTAGGATGCCACCCAGTGCGCTCTCGTCGTAGTGCTTCGCCAGTTCCTTGACCAACAGCTTGTACATATCCTTTCTGCGAGACATGTTGTCGACAAACATCCCCATTCGTCCAGTAAACTGCCTTCCAAAGCGTTGTCTTTATTGAATTTGAGCCATTTGAAGACTTGGTCTGGCCTCTTGTTAGATTTCGCCCAGTACTTTAGCTGCGCTTCTTTTAACGAGACGATCAACTTCTCCTGCAAATGTGCTGTTACCAGCATATGTCGCAGGCCCTCATCTGTATACAGATGAGTCAAAGTGGAAAGCATTGCAGATTCTGCCTTCTTCCGGTTGTTCTTGTATCGTATGTCCACCATGCGTTCCCATTGACCAAAAGATTTACTGTTGAAGAGTTCAACTTTGTGCAACCTGAGGAGTTTAAAAAACTTGTCTCTAGCCGTCTGTTCCATATTGGAGACGCGTCTGGTTCTTACGCGCGTTACGCTCTGCTTCGCTATTGCTGCCTCGGATATTGGTTCGGCTTCTGCAATAGTGATGGAAAGATTGAAACGCTCTCTCTGCAGAGTTGTCGTTTTCCTCAATGACTGGCGACGTGCCCTTCGTTTGTCAAGTTTTGCGTGGCATCATTGCCATGTAAACCAGTACTTTGGTCGTTCTGAGACGTGGAGACCGTTGTCGCTGAACTTGGACATGCCAGTAGAATTAAAGCGCTCAACAAAACAATGATAAACCGGCGAGGCTTTCGTAGAGCTTAAAGAATCATTCTGTGACCTTCTCTTGTAAATGGCAACGTAGGTTTAGCCGTAGAGAGTGTAACAGGCTTACAAAGGTGTGTATTGTACATGCACATCTGCCACACCTTCGTGGTGCGGCTGTACCTTGAGTACAGTGGTGGTTGATGTGACCGTACCTAAGGTACGAAGGGTGGTTGGTACTCACTATAGACTTTACATGTTTACATATTAATAGGCTACAGAGCCAGTAAATAGTGACTAGCACTAAGTATAGAGTAGGTGCTTCTATATTGCTAGAAGTTAAACATTAAATAAATCAGTTTCAAACCTGCTCTGAATAGCACAAGTGCTAGAGCGTTCTCTTCCTGTGTAAAAGAAATTGTATCTTTGATACTAGTCTCTTGGAGACGTGGTTATTTACAACCAAAAGGCATGAGCTTGCGAAGATGGTTGGAAGAGTTAAGAGCCCTAAGACGTTTAAGCTCTTTAAGCTTGTCTTCCTCTACATCTAGTGCATAAGTAGCTTTGCTACAGTGATAGGATAACACATCGCCCAAACGCTTCCAAATTTTTGCAGTCGCCGGAGACAAATTAGGTGGAGGTATGTCTCGGGCATGCCTATCGACCAGATGGCACATGAAACAACGTTTTCTTCGGTGGCGCCGTCTCGCATCGTCGCTTCTGTGGTCGCAAAGGCAGTTTTAAGGGCCACGGCAGCGGTGACTAAGAGAACTTTGGCCTATTAACAACCCATCGCGTTTCAGCAGATCGACAGATTTATCCCGGAGACATTTACTGAGGCGAGGTATACACCGCACTGGCTCACTTTGGATCAATGAGCGACGCAAGCGGTCTTCCCGATATACCATAAAATCGTATGATGCCAAGATGCATCAACGTACAAACTCAAGAAACGAACATTGTGGCTAACAACCTTCAGGTCTACGTCAGCCACGGTATTGATCGCTTAACGCAGGGCTCAGCTCTTGGCAACCATAGCGGTATAATAGACACTCTGTTCATCTCTCTCCATACAAAACAAAACCCATCAACGTTGCAACAAGTGACACGGAACACATCCGTCTGCCATGATTTTGGCATTTCAGACGTGTATTGATTGCTGTGATCTGCCTCCATTTCTTGCAGACCACTGCGTGACAATGCAATGTTTTGGCTAGTAAGAGCAAAGCCAAGACGATCGACCACGATTTGGTCAAGAATCACGCGTTGCTTTCTTTCCTATGCTGACATGCTTGCATGGAGACGCAGTCACCTGTGATCATGCCAACTTTCTTGTAGCGATGTTCTCAGACCTTCCTCGAAAAACATTGTACTGCTTGTGAGTGAAGACACTGATCAAGCTACGCAAGATATACAGCTAAAACTAAACGTATACATGTGAAGAAGTGCAAAAGGATGCGGCAATGGAGTGATTGCAACGCGTGTTGACGACTAAAGGTAACAAACCAGGGTCAGTTTTTCTGATTGTGAACAAATTGAGATAGTGTGCTAGCGGGATGTTTTGCGAGTCTCATTATTGAAAGAAGCAAGTACGTCGGTCTTTTGCTTAGCTGACAGTGACTTTGAATACCATATACCTTGCGGCTTGTCCTGTTCCAATTGGGACTGGAGGTTGCATGTCAATCTTTTACGATTCTTGCAATGTCCATAGCGTGCAAACCCGCGCGTGTCAGTATTTGATAACTGCATAAGAAACAATCTTAGCTCAATTGAAGCCACCACAAGCTTCGTGCTTGTCGAAACTTTCTAATGTGTTCCGCTGCTTGACCTGATTTGTTCAATCTTTGGAGTACGATGGCAGTGATGCTTAACAGAATATCATTAAGATAGCCCTCAAGCAGCGAGCTCAAATCTCATGATGCAAAAACCACGGGACAAAGAGCAAGCTTTAAGACTCTTGAGCGTATATACACATATGCAAGAAACTAAACTAGATCTGATAGTAGCTTACTTATCTGGTGTGTAATTGTATCGCAGGTCTTTTGCTATCATTTACTTGCAGTCTCACTGTGAGATGCACAAATCATACTAAAACCTAGACTAAAATCTAGACATAGGTATTGCACTTCTCAAAGTATCGGTATTGAAAGTAAACGGCAAGATATATTCAGACTTAACTTCTTTCGCTTACGCTATGCACCGTGTGGGTCTCCTGCACTGTAACTACATTGTCAAGTTGCAGATGACGTGCGTCCAGTCCACACGTCTCCATATGCTGGGCCCACATGTCGACCGTCTCTCCGGTCCCATCCACCTTGACATCTTGATCGCTTACGTAGCGTTCTTCTCACTTCGTCCCATCACTTCGTCCCATCACAAATGTAAGCAATCAGGTAAAGTTGAAAGCTACCTATAGCAGGTCTTAAAGTTGAACTTGAACGCTTGAAAACCTGTGAGAAGTGATAACTTTTAACACTCCTCCTCGACGTCATCCTTGATGGCCTTCAGCTTAAAAAAGCTCTTGCAACATCAAAATTATTGGTGCCGGTAGCGCCTTAGTCAAATAATCCGCCATCAAGCCATCCGACTTAGAAAAAACTTGGCTGTACAATTTGAGATTGAGCGTAGTGGCAGAAAATAAACGTAGAACAAATATCGACGTGCGTCGCGCTTGACAATTCTTCTTGCTCTTTGACAAGTTGATCGCCGCTTGATTATCGATTCGCATCGCCATAGGCCCAACCACCTTCATGTCCAGCTCACCAAACAGCTCTTCGGACTTGTCTGCAGCAAAGTCTGCATTACTCCAGCTTTCAATCTTAATGTCGTCCTTCGGACCACTTGAGCTATCAATGCACAACTTTTACGTCTTCGTATCTTTTAAGTACCTCGCGACTCGTGTTTTGCCATCTTCCAGTCTTTCATTTTCCATCTTTCAGTCTTTCATTGTTGGCTTGAGCGTTTGCCGAGTTGCCCTATGCACCGCAAAACAGATATCCGGTCGAGCCATTCGCAAGACACTTCCAACAATGCATTGGAAGGCATTGGTACTCACTATTCCCATCTTGGCTGTCGGCATCAACCGTTCCAAACCTTCATTATCTACCTCGTTGCACTCGTCGCCGATAGTGGTTGAACTCCATTCGTGACCTTAAATTACACAGCAAGTCGATTGTCACTTTTTAATCCAACGTAACCAACATCATTCTTCACATTAATCGTATTCCAAGAAAATTGTACACAACGCTAAAATCCTTGATCTCGAGGGACGCCATGTTGTTGAAAAAGTCGTTTACGACATCGCTCGAAGTTACAGTGACCAGAAAAGCATCGACCTACACACCAACAACCGTTACGCTTTCGTCAATATGCTTGACGTACAGGCACATGTCCGTCGTGCACTGCGTGGATTCCAAATCAACCAACTTCAAGTGAAGCAACTTGATCCACAGTCATTCAGCTTGCTTCAGTCCGTACAAAGACTTCTTTAACCATAAATCAAAATGTTTCGTATCCGTGACTCCATGTTCTATAAAACGTCTTGACTGACTTGCATCCCACTTGGTAATCGCATGTAAATGTCGAGACTTTCTCTTTGTCGATTTTGCATAGGCGTTTGGAATATTGCCGTGTCGTTCGGGCACCTTCCATCTGCAAGAGAGCACCAAAACTACCTTGACGGTACCAAGTTCCATGACTGCGTCAAAATTCAAGATATAATTAACCCTAAAAATCTGCTCGTTGCCACATGCAACGAGTCCTACCTTGTACCTCTCCACGTTTCCGCCAGCATCAGTTTTCGTCTTGAGCACCCATTTTTTTGTAAAGAACGTGCGATGAATTAGGCGCTACAACCACGATTCACACACCATTTTCTTCCAGCGCCTCTAGCTCTTCCTTGATAGCCCTGGCCTACTTGTCCTTACTGCTGCTCCCCACAGCCTCCCCTTATTCCTTGTGTCTTGCTCTCTGACAAAGCTGACAACATTAGCACCTTCAATATTGTCATCTTGGCCACTTAACTCGTTTTTGTCGATCCGTCTTGATCGAGTCATGTATCGGTCACGTTCATCCTTAGATCAAGCTTTCGTCGAGTTCTTGAACGCTTTTCATCAAGCTTCTCCTGACTTTCAGCGCCTTACAAATTTGCTAAGGTCTCCACATTTTTCACGTGCTGGGTAACTACCACCACACACTCTTTTGTGCACTTGATACCCTCCATCTCATCGGTCTTGCCGATGATGATGGACGCCTCACGTGTAACCAAAGATTTGTTCGCAGTCTTCAGATGCGCCGTGCATGGAGAGCCAAAAATCACGACGTCACTTATGACTGGTCTTTTTAGTAAACATCTCGATTGGTGAGATGCCTCCCACTGTTTCGCCTTGGTGGGATTTCAGATTGAGTATGTACGCTGCATACTCAGCAGAATCACTTCAAAACGTCAAAGTTAGCCCACTAGCGAGCACCGTACACCATATGCATAATGGTACGATACATGCGAACAGCTTTGCCGTTGCTCGCCTGGTTGCCTGCTCGCTAACCTGTCGTAAGACTCCAGTTTCCTTGCAAAAACATCACGCATTTTGTACTCATCTTCACCTTCTGCGCGTACAACGTGCACACAACAATTAAATTGGCGCTTAAAAGGCACCAAAAATGCCTGAAGTCATGACAGCAGCTGTATTGGTCTTTGCGAGAAAACCCTCAGCAATAGATTAAACGCTGATAAATGACTTTTACCACGTACCAGT